GCTGGCCTGTAAATGAGTGAAAACTGCAGAGTTCTGGCCATTAGATGTAGCTCGTCTGTGTTGGGACATTCTTTTGAACAGTGGTTGCTTTGTTTGATTTTTTACCTGGATTATTGAGATGCATCAGGACGTTATGATTTTAGTTTAAAAGTCTTGGTGATATGCATTTCTTGAAGGCTTGTCTTTATTATTTATTTTTAAGACCTTGTTTCCTGTCAGTACAGGTGCATCTTGCAACTTGCATTCAGTTCTTGGCGTGCAGCAGGGCGGTATTCTGAATTTCCTGTGTTCAATAGTGGTTTTGAATTGAGTAAGTTGTTTTGCTGCTTAAAAGAAAAGAAAGTGAGATTGTTTCAGATAGATAAAGACAGCTCATATGTTTGCTCTAAATTCAGACGTTGCAAATATTTTCCACAAGAATATACTCATAATGGCAGATGTGTTTTTTTTTTAAGAATAGAAAGACAGACTGTGGTTGTCACTGACAACACATGCAACGAAGAGTGTATGTTGGCTTAACATGAAGTGTGACAGACCTTTACATTATGAGCAACTCTTTGCTCCTCTGAGGGGACGTGCTTATTAGGATTACCACTCACGAAAGGTCACAAATGTCTTCACATTTAAGGGGGCTTTTAGAAGAACTTTATCTCAGCTGATTAGTATGTATGTAGGTCTCCCTTGCAAGTAATATCATGATCAATTAGGGTTTTAACTTGGTTAAATAAAGGAAATGAAATATAGCGCAAATATGCATAAAAGTGCCAGACAGCCTGTATAAATGAAAAATTAGTACTGTGTGCTTAGTTCAACTTTTCATTTATTCAGACCAAAACATCATCATGCATTGAGAGGGAATAAAATGCTCTCATTCTGCTTTTACTCTGTTCTTAGGTCACAGCTGATCATCAAACGTTTTTTTATTTGTGGTAGCTGCAAGGCAGAGTAAGTAAACCAGTTCTGATGGAGAGAGCAGAAGGAGGGGGGGGAATATGGGGAAGTGGAGAAGCATTTCCCATAAGCCATGATCGGCATGCTCCTCCTCCCACTGGCCGCCAGCCAGCATCAAACAGAGCTGAGAGCAAAGCAGGCGAGGCTGAGCTGTTACCAAAAGTCATGAAGGACAAGAAGGACAAACTGAGCACCTAGCTGACGTAGATGAGGTTATTCTGAACGTTTAAATGTCAGATAGCAGTTCGGACTTGAGTTTATCTGTCCCTTTTTTTTTAACTGCGCCACCTCATGTATACACAGAGTTGTTTTGTGCGGTTTTGTTTATAGCAGTATTTTTTTCAACTTCCTTTCCACGTAAATTTGTCAGGGTGTGGTGGTGCAGCGTTGTGATGCGGAAGTAACAGTGAAACCGCGTTGTTTTTGATTTATCAGTGCATGGAGTCGGCAGACAAAAGGTAATATTTTAAATTTTAACACATTTTGGTGAAGTCACAGTATATTTACCTGTGGGAATGGATTGAACTTGTGAGTTTTGCTGATGCAAAAAATACACATGATAAACTAGCTCTGCAATTGTTTTAGTGAAGATTTCAGCCTTCATCTTTGTGTGAAAGGCTGTGATCAAGGGTTGCACTGATGCAATAGGCTGCAACTGAGCTTCTAAGCTCTGCTAAGATAAAAACAGTATGTGTAAATGTATTAGTTTTACAGTCACACTGTACTCTTCTGGCCACAGTCACGCAAATCATTATTGGAAATTCAGTCCAGCTGTGCCTCACCTAAACTACTTCCTCTAACCGAAATGGAGTGCTTGCTTTAATGAAACAGTTGCAACTGTGAAAACAAGGCCGGGGTTCAGTTTCCTGTCTTGTCTGCCCCTCTGAAAGTGTTTAAAGTTTCAGTTCAGTTTGGTAATCAAGTGTTGTCTTGCACGGCACAGTCCAAACTGTCTCTAAAATGGTACAATAAACAGTTGTTGGACTTATATGTACAGTATGTGTTCGATTACCAGAGTAAATTCTCAGTCTGATTTGGAGTCAAATTTTATTTATTTTTCTTCTTCTTTTAATAACTGTTTTAGAAAATAGTGTTTACTTTTGGGCCAGATAGTGTCAAAAACTACTCCTCAGATAAAATAATTWAAAAAGCATCAATATCTCCAAACTAATGTAAAAGAGATGCAATGTGTGTTGGCTTTTTTGTCAMCGTGTTTTCTGTTTAGATCACCCACAGATTAGCAGAAGATACACATTTTTTTGCTGCAAACTTATAAAGGTCACTCACTCACCAGCAGCAGACATGACTAATGTCAAAATGATGCAAAACCATTTTTGTCCCAGAGTTTTGAAGCCATTTTTTGTATTAAAACAATTGTAAAGGAACTTTTTAATAAAATTCCTAGCATTGTTTAAAACTTACCACCTTTGAGACCAGAAGAAATGATGGCGCTGTAGCCATTTTGGTAAACTACTGACAATAACATGATGCTCAGTCTTATTGCAATATCACATAATGTGTTGTGAACAACTATAGTACCACACTAAATTTTAGCTCATCATTGTAACGTTAGAGAAGTGGAGCCATCTTGTGTCGTCTAAGCTCATTTGGCTATGGCTGCCATATTGAATTGGTTTGAGTCTAGTGCTGTACCAAACGATTATTTTCTAATCGATTAATCTAACAATTATTTTTTCGATTAATCGATTATTCTAACAACAAATCTATAAGTTATTCTGATGTGAGTGCACTGGAAATTTAAAATGTTTTCATCAGATTAACAAGAACAGTTCTTTAATATTGTAGTGTTTTCTGTAATTGTAATATTATTGTAATTGTAATATTTTCATGAAAAACTCACATACAGTCGCAATGATGCTTTTAGGTACCGAAATAGAATTGCATGAACATTCACCTGGTGGTTATGTAATACAGCGAATCGATAATAAAAAATCTGRHTRGACAAATTTACATAATCGACGTCATCGATTATTTCAACTAATCGGTTCAGCCCTACTTGTGATGTCCACGGCCTACCCCAGTTACCACTACTGTACATGTGTGTCAAGGACAGAAAGGCAGATGTGGCAGTGGAAGGTGTCAAAGCAGTTTGGAGAGAAAAACAAAATAAAGAACAAAAAAAAAAGAAAACGATTAATCGATTATTAAATTAGTCATCGAATATTTTAATAATCAATTAGTTGTCGATTAATCGATTAATTGGTACAGCCCTATTTGAGTCTAATTCTATCCAGTTGTAAACGTCGACCCAATGATTGTTTTCAAAACATTTCATTAAAATCTTAACAGTGAGTTATTCATGAGTTATTTTGCTAGCAGTACAAACAAACATGTTTCGCCCACTTTGACTTTGGTAATTATGACAAAAACATTGCATTCGCTTGGATTTATAATAATTATTTAAGAGCAAAAACTGTGAATGTTTCCAGTTTGACAAACATGGTAATTTACTGAGTTTCTTTGTCAAATGAGAGTATACCAGATTTCTTCGGGTTTTAGGCTTTTCTTGTCAGAATGTGTATCTGGGGTTCAAAAACAATAATACAAAAAAGATAAAAAGACATTTTTTTGCATTTTCAAATACAAAAAAAKCCCCACAAACAAACAAAAAACAACAACTCAGATTAAGACAGATTAAAACCTTTCTATTTTAGGAAAAATAACACCAGCTTCTCACAAAAAGCTACATAAATGGTCCAAACTGTCTCAGACTATAAAACCTCAATGTGTTTCAAGAAAGAACTTAACATGATTTTCTTTGATTCCAGATCCTTCAAATGAAATGGCGGTGAGGCAGAGGTTTTTCAACTCAACTGAGCCATTTTCCGGCTTACCCAAAGCTGAACTGAAGGGGTCCTACCCAGTCTGCTCCAGCACAGAGCAGGAGGCAGAAGAAGAGGGGAAGGACTCAAAAAAGGGCTACCTGCCTGTCCCGGAGTGGGGTGCCATCAATCTTATTAATAAACTCATCACACGAGGAACTGCTGAACAAGTGGGAGAATTGCCAATAAAGACCTCAACGATCATCGCTCAGGCAGAATGTAATTATCTTTGCTTATTTTTATTTATTTGACGTAAAATATGAGTTTAACGTCCATCGGTTTTTTTTATTTAGGTGAAACCCAGGACTCTCAGGAGTTTAGTCCCTCGTGCTTCGAACGCTCGTTTGTTCCCTCCCCAAACTGTTTCCACAGGTATAACACTGATTTGGTAACTCTCCCCAAATTTATTTATTTATTTCTTTTTTAGTTTCTGAATTGTGTGTATAAATATCTCATCGTTCCTTTCCTCCAGTCTTTCCTTGGAACCCAACAATGTGGCGTGCCCGACGACGGCCTCCGTCCAGGAGCCGGGCAGAACTACAGCCAGCCACACGCAGAGAAGGAAAAACCGGAGGAAACCAAAAGGCAAGGGYAAGAAAAAGCAGGAGAAGAAGAAGGAGACCCAGCGGCAGAGACATCGAACGCCGTCAGGAGTCCCCGAACAGGAGAGTGGGAGTTCTGTAAACCTGATCCAGGTGAGAACTGGATATAATATTTTGAAAGTCGCAATCACTTAATATCATATTTAGAGTAAACAGTAATCCTATTGAGGATTGCATGAATAATTAGGCAACTTATCACACTGTTTTATACAGATAAACCTATACGTTTTCATAAAATATTTCAACACACTACTGACTTACGTTTTTATTTTTAAAGTTGCCTCTGCTTAGTATAAGCAACTTTGGACTTATATTTTAGAAACCTGTTTAAAAAATAGGTTATTATTTGTGTATAATAATTAGAACAGACAGAATCTGTACAGAACATGGTATCTTATCTTTGCCTTCCTTTGTTGAAGAAGTGGAATTCTGAGTTGAAAAAAAACAAACTGCCTGCCATGTCCTTGACTGTTCAGTCCCTGAGAGTACAAACTTCCCTTTGTTTGATCAACTATGTTACTTCGTTGCGTTTCTCCTGAAGGAGTCGTCGTGTCTAGGAGGGAGCCGCGACCTCAGCACGTCCTGCTCCAGCAGCATCGAGAGCTTGGTCGAGCAGGATCGAGGACATGCTTTTTTCACCGGACGAATCTACAACCCCGGCTCCAGCTGCTCTCCTCTGAACTGGCCTGACCCCGTCGTGTGCCCCCACTCCACCTTCCAGTCATACGAGCAGGACAGAAGCTCCGACTCAAACAGTAGTCTGGGAGACTGTTCCCTCGCTCTTGCTGGTCTCAGGGGCAGTGTCAGCCAGGGGGACCCGTGCTACGCAGGGCCATTTTTTAAAGATGTGGAAAGAGAGATAAACCTGAGCGAAGATGAGTTCTCTGATGATTCAGAGTGCAACGAAGGACTCATTTTTTACAATGATGTATGTTCTTCTCTTTAGTCTCCTTACTGTCTGTTATATTCCATTTATAAGGCTTTTACTTAAATTTACTTGTTTCTCTTTTTTTTTTCTTTAAAGAAAATTAAGCTCATGGACTCAGAGTACAAAGAAAAGAGTGAATACAACTTATTACATTTTATCAAACAAGGTTCTTATGGTGAAGTGTACAGTGCTCAAGATCTCAACACAGGATTCAAATATGCAGTCAAAAAGGTAAACAAGCGTGACACCCTCTGTATTTTTCATCAGTCTGCCAAGTGAAGGCCTAATTTTTCGTCTCCAATATTTTGTCGCAGATTGCCCTGAAGAGGTTCACCAGTGAGGAGGTGGGTGCGTGGAGTACCCTCAGATCTCCTCGAGTGGTGGAGCTCTTTGGAGTGATAAGAAGCGGGCCGTATGTGCTCCTTTTGATGGACCAGAAGTCTGGTAAATAAGCCTCATTTCTGTCTTTTTTTAGTTGTAGTTTTCTTTAAAAACAGCACATTTTCTTGTGACTAACAGCTATTGCTGTCACACGCTTGTGTGCAATTGTTTAAACATGAAGATAATGGGGTATAGGGATGAGGATGTGATTAGGGTCAACATGCGTAAATGACTGTTTCCTTAAAATGCTGTGATGTGTATTGCATTAAAGATCACAGTGGTCTATCTCAGTGGTTCCCAAAGTTGGGGTCGGGACCGCAATGGGGTCCCAAAACATCAAGGTGGGGTCCTGAAAAGATTTTCTGAATTATATTACAAAATAACAACTAACAACATTTTTTTTTTGCCTTCGTTGATACAAAAGAGTAAGTTTAGTGTAGTGCTCATTCAAAATTATGGAACAGTCTTCCACTTTCTGTCAGACAAGCCCATTCGCTGTCCATTTTTAAAACTTGTCTAAAAACACATTTCTACTCCCTGGCTTTTAGCACAGCCTGAGAATTTTTTTTAGATTTATTCCTGTTTTATTGTTATTTATTGTTTTTAATATTTATTTTGTGTTTTTCATGTTTTGATTTTATATGTACAGCACTTTGTTGCAGCTGTGGTTGTTTTAAAGTGCTTTAAATAAAGTAGTAGTAGTAGTTGTGTACTTAAAATGGACAAAAATAGCATAATGAATATTGTTACTATGCTCTTATTTTTTTTGACGTGAAAACAATGTTTATGATCCAACAACAGTTTGGGGCTCGGGTCTCTGCTGATGGTATTTTGAGGGTCAAAGGCTGAAAAGTTTTTACTTTTAAATTCAGACTTTGGCTTATTTGCTGGCCTCAATAAAAAAAGCTTGCCTGGGTGAAAAGAAGCATTGAATCTACTTTTTAATCTAATCTTTGACCTTATCTGTCATGTCCAGACTCTTTGGGGCAGCTGATTGTGCAGCGTGGCCGACTGCCTGAAGATTTAAGTCTGCACTACTTCTCTCAAGTTCTAACAGCGCTGGAATACTTGGTGAAGAAAAAAGTGGTGCATTTAGATATTAAAGGTACGTTAAACAAAGGATGGTTTTCTTTCTAGTTTCCATGTCTGGTATGAATTATGATAAAAAAGGACGGCATCAAATGAATTGTTTTTGACCTATTGAAGCTGTTAGTGTTTGTGTACTGAGACATGTTTTAATAAAAGATTAGTTTTAATCTTAACTGATTTGTATAAATAACTTTTTGGAGGATGTGCAGCGGGAAATGGCATTATGGAAAGGGCTTTTTTTTTTCCCCTGGAAATGTGCGAAAAGGTAATTTTTAATCATGAAATATAAATATTTAGGATAAACAAATAACCAAGCTAAAACAAGGATTTCCTAGTTGTCACAGTGCAACAGGTTGACTGTCCTTTTGTTGTGGTTTCCAGTGGAAAATCAAATAAACAAAGGTAGTAGAAAGTTGGTATTCTTAAAAGCAGTTCATGTCTTTTGTATGGAATACCAGTGTCATAGACAGACTAGATTTGATCGTGAGGCACCTGTGTGCTTTGTGAAACCAGATTACCGCTGAGGGGCTGGGAATTTCCCACAGCGTGACTCACCGCTGCTGTTTAGAAACAGCGCATGTGCACAAGATCAGGAGAGCTAGAAAGAAAAGGGAGAACGAAACGGATGGGGGGATGGGACAAGGAGGAAGAAGTAGACGGCGAGAACAGTAAAAGAGAAATAGCAAAGTATAAACAGTAAGTTAAACAGAAAAGAAAAAAGTACTGAAACTGAAAAGACAACAAAAGATAGAAATAGAAAAGTGTGTCAAAAGGAGGAAACTGTAAAATGAAACCACAATGATCTAAGTGCAACAAATGAGCCTGTGCAAAAGAGGACTAAACATGTTTTTTTCTTGAAGCTGAAGCTCCCCCTGGTGTTTGTAATGCTTCAGGAAAAATATTTTCTCGTTATTCAGTCCAGATGAAAGTGTTTTTTTTTTTTTTGCTGCAGCTGTACCAAACTGAAATCATATTTTCCTCTCATACAGCTCTTTTGTTTATGGACTGTTTATCCATGGAGCTGCCCTGTTTCTAATTATCTCATGCACCAACTTCATCTCTGACGATGCGCCTGTAAGACCAAGATTAACGTCTCTGCTTGGTTCTCACAGCTGACAATGTGTTGCTCTCAGAGGACGGGAGAGACACCTTCCTGTGTGACTTCGGACATGCAGAGAAACTTGACAATCAAGGGTGGAGCCTGAGTGGGTCCAAAGGTAAAAMGCCACGCATGATAAGCTTTTCATTTAAGCAGCGTTTTATTTATCCTTTTGCATGTTTTTAATTCCCACGTGTAATTCATCCCAGACCTAAAAGGCACAGAGACCCACATGGCCCCTGAGATCGTAAAAGGGGAACCCCACGGAGCCAAAGCAGATGTGTGGAGCAGCTGCTGTATGTTACTGCACATGCTCAACGGGTGTCAACCGTGGACGAGATACTACACCTGTATACTCTACCTGAAGGTGCTATTCACCACAGCACAGATAAARTTGTTGCTTCACAAAATATATTTGTTCTTTAGGGTAAGATGACACGAATCACCAAATCTTATTCTGATGGTTACAGATTGCAAATGATCCCCCTCCTCTCAGAGAGATCCCACCTGACTGTAGCCATCACACAGCTGAGGTTTTAAAGGCTGGACTCCAGAAGGATCCAGTAAAGAGACCATCAGCAACTCAACTTAAAGAAAAAACAGACAGAGCTCTGAAAGAAGGTGAAGTATCGTTACTTCCCCCATTTGTACTGTCTTCATAGTAATTCAAATAACATGTTCATAAGTGAAGGTTTGGCTCCAGACGTTCATTATTTATTTTATGGAAACTTTGATCTATTTAAGTAATTATAAATTTCATTTTTAAAAAACGTTAACAGTGAAAAACCTACAGTTAGGTCCATATTTTTTGTAAACAAAATGTTCATTTCTAGTACTTGGTTGAAAAGCCTTTGTTGGCAATGACTGCCTGAAGTCTTGAACTCGTGGACGTCACAGATGCTGTGTTTCCTCCTTTTTAATGCTCTGCCAGGTCTTCACTGCAGTGGTTTTCAGTTTCTGTTTGTGGGCCTTTCTGTCTGAAGTTTAGTCTTTAACAAGTGAACTGCTCCTAACTTGGGTTGAGATCAGGTGACTGACTTGGCCATTCAAAAATATTCCACTTCTTTGCTTTAATAAACTCCTGGGTCATTGTCCATCTGTAGTATGAAATGATGACCAATCAGTTTGGCTGCATTTGTCTGGATCTGAGCACACAGTCTGTCTCTGAATACCTCAGAATTCATTGGGCTGCTTCTGTCCTGTGTCACATCATCAATAAACACTAGTGACCCAGTGCCACTGGCAGCCATGCATGCCCAAGCCATCACACTGCTCTGCTGTTTTACAGATGATGTGGTGCTTTGGATCATGATCTGTACCACACCTTCACCAGACTTTTCTCTTTCCATCATTCTGGTAGAGGTTGATCTTGGTTTCATCTGTCCAAAGAATGTTCTTCTAGAACTGTGCTGGCTTCTTTTAGATCTTTTCAAGCCAAGTCCAATCTGGCCTTTTTGTTCTTGAGGCTAATAAGTGGCTTGCACTGTGCAGCGAGCTCTCTATAGTTACTTTTAATGCAGTCTTCTCTTTATGGTAGATTTTTATATTGAAATGCCTACCTCCTCGAGAGTGTTGTTCACTTGGTTGGATGTAGGGATGAAAACAATTAAAAGACTTATGATTGATTGTCAAATGGTTTCTTAGATTAAAGTTTGTTCCATTTGATTAACTAATAATGTTTGCTTAGACACACCAGAAAGATATGCCCTCACCGTGACTCTGTTAAAATTTGAGTCAAAAGTAGAGACTTCAAACTTTAAAACAGTTTTTGAATTGCGTTGAAAGACAAAGTAAAACCGGAATTTATGATAAATAATATATGGCACTTTTTTTTTTCTCTTGAACTGTTTGTCCAATTTGATGTGTCGCCGCGTGCAGGAAACATGGTCCCATGAAAAAAAAACACAGATTCACTGTCAGTTTTATCCTTTATCTCGAGACTAAAAATATAACCCCCCCCAGTATTTTTTTCTGACTGAGGCCCAAAGTTATTTGTCAAGCAGCAAAAAAATCTACAGGAAGAAGAAAATAAAAAGACAAGATACAGCAAGAGCCATAAAGATTAATTAAAGACAGTGTTTGGATTTTATAGCTAGGGTGTAGTTCAGTGTGTTTTAGTCAATCAGCTTTAGATTAATTCATTAATCGATAACTTGCATCCCTTGTTCAAAGTTGTGAAAGGGTATCTCTTCACCATGGAAATTATCCTGRGATCATCCACCATTTTTGTCTTCCATGGGCGTCCAGGTCTTTTTGCATTGATGAGTTCACCAGTGGATGGCTTGTTTCACCTGCACGGAGGGCTCCTTTAACTGCATGTTTTCTTCATAACAAAATATTCCAAATGAATCACCACACCTCAAATCAACTTGAGGCCTTTTATCTGCTAACTGAGAATGACATAATGAAGGAATTGCCCACTCGTGTCCATGAAATAGCTTTTGAGTCAATTGTCCAATTATTTTTTGTTCCTTTAAAAGCAGGATGGGCACATGTTGAGGAGCTGAAGTTTTGTCACTACCCAAATAGATCTAATGGACCTAACTATGATTATTAGTTTTGTGTTAAAGATGTAAGCAATCAGCAACATAATGAAGTCTTAGCAGCAAAATTAGACCAATCATCTATAGCTTCATTTTAGCTTAGTTCTGTGATGACTTTTCCATTTTTATTGTCTTAGTGTGCAGATTGATCTCAGATTGAAGATAATCTGATGAATTAAAGTTTAAATGAATTTGTTTCTTTTTGAARCTACAGTTGGAGGACTCACCAGTCCGGTCAAAGGCCCCTACACAGATCCTCTGTATAATGTCAGAAAACTGCCCGATTCCCCGCAACTCAATAACAGCAGCGTCGACTTCGAAGACAAAAAGAATCAAATGGAGTCCGCTGAAAAAGTGATCACGGCAGGGTTAAAGACACAGAAACTGCATTCTGGTCCACAAACGCTGATCTCTAAGCCAAGCCAAAGGTGGAGCAACAAGATCTCCACAATGCCGGAGCTTGAGCTTCGTAAACTGGAGCGAGGTGACGTTTTTTTTGCTGTGGATTTTCACATTGTTACATGTTGTGCCTAAACTGTGCTCATGGCTGTCATGTTTGATTTCAGACTTCTACCTGAGCAGCCTGTCTCACCTTCATTCTGCTGAGGAGCAGGAGCAGCTCCTGTCGTGTATCAACAGTGAGCCGAGGGAGAAAAAGGTGACTTAAAAAAAGACAGAATCACACATTTATTTTGAGTTTTCAAGACCCATTTTTCGTCCCCTACTATAATAAGACATTAGTTTACCTTGCTAAGCTATGGTATGATATATTCCTGAAAGTCTGGCTAGTGTTTCATAATTTACCACACATTTTATTTATAAAGGAGCTTATTTTGTGTTCAATAATTGAAAAAGTTTTAACTGTTTGTTTTTTCCTAAGGACTCTGGCCGCTGGTCCCTGAGCCCATGTGATGAATTCAGCTCTGGCTTCTTCTCCTACAACAGTCAGCCAGATGTGCAGGCCTTCAGCGTGGATTTGCTTGGTCAAACACCATTTCCACCACCTTGGTGTTTTGAAGGTGAGATAAGATGTCTAAATATCCCCTCCCCTCTAGTTTGTGCAGTATTTTATCTATCAGTGGTTAACGTTCTGCTGTTGGAACAGGGGTGGATGTCTGCATCAGAAACTTCAACAGGAGAAGCATTCGGATCAGAGAGAAGCGTCGAGTGAGGATTGGCCACATCGCTACTGGAATCAGCGATCAGGTACTATACGTCAAAACAATTTCTTCTTATAATGAGCTTTTGTGAAGGAGGAGGAGCTAAATGAGTGTTTCTTTTGTAGATCTCTGAGCGAGTGTTCACTCTGGAGACCCTGCAGGGTCAGCAGATCTCTCACTGCGAGGAAGTGCTGGATTCTGGTCTGGAGCTCCACTGTGTTCCAGCTCCAGACTTCAGCCCCACGTGGAAGTGGAGGGTCAAAGACGGCATGCTGGAAACGAGATAGAGCCCTCAAAACTTTGCTGTCACTGAATGAAAACTTGCGGATCATTTCACATGCTAAAAAGATTTCATTGTCCCAGTTTTTATGTTTTAACGTCAAAGATCTTAAATGTTACAAATGATAGTGTTGTGTAATGTTTGTATGCTTTTATATTCATGAAATAAACATTGGATTATTCTGTGAGCTAACTATTCTTCATTAGTCATTACTTCAAGTCCAGTTTGTGATATTATAGTGATGGTGGATACATTTAGTCTAATTGGTTTTGGTCATTGTGGTGTACTGTAGTGACTGTCAAATAGTTATCAGTAAGCTGAAGTGAGGTTAGACCAGTAGCATGTAAATGTTTAGGCACTCTGGTCTGGTGAAGGCTGTAAACAAATTTTAGCCAAAGAGGGTAAGAGTAGCTAAATAAATAAAAGTTGAGTTTTCTGGCACTCAGACCCTAGTTTAGTTTAGCCGTCTGTGTGAATGTGAAAACCTCAAACTTTAAAAGCCACTCAATGTCAATATGAAAACTGACAATTTGCCGTGAGTGGAAATTAAAAGCAAATAATTGAATATTAAAACATACGCATTACATTTAGTGACAGCTCTGTTCAAATAAACAAACATTCATTGCGTAATCAGGGGTGTCAAACTCCTGTCCTCGAGGGCCGCTATCCTGCATGTTTTAGAGGTTTTCTTGCTCCACCACACCAYATTTTGATCGCTGGGTAATTAACAGGCTTCTGCCCAATTTGAAGAGTTAATTCAATCACTGAATCAGGTGTGTTGGAGCTGGAAAACCTCTAAAAAATGCAGGATAGCGGCCCTCGAGGACTGGAGTTTGACACCCCTGGCGTAAATAATGCATGCACACAGCAAGAAGAAGAATTAAAACATTTATTTTCTGTATTACAACATAAAAGTCACTGCGAAAAAAACCTTTCAGGGATAATCGGAATCAGTGTGAGCCTTACAAATGTGATAGAAAAGCAGGGAACTTGATAATATCAAAAAGACTCGTCATTTAAAAACGAAAACACCAAGGCACTGACGAAAAGAAATGTATCAAAATCATTCCGCTGCGTAAACAACGTTGCAGCAGACTGAATAACTGATGTAAAAATACAGTCCTTCGATTGTGTCAAAATTGAGGTAAGTATCTGAGCAGTCCATTGCTCTGTTTGCAGCATGAAGCACATGTCCCTTTATACTCATGACGCATGGCTTCTACAAAAACAAAACTGGGAGCCACAATAAGCTTGTGGTTATTGAAATACCTCAAAACAGCAATTGATTGTATCTATAGAAAAGAAATGATTTAATTCATTTTACTAGGTTTCTGTCTTTAACCTTGAAATGATTCATTAAATGTAAACAAAACTTTATACACAACTCTGGTGTGGCACTTTTTTTTAAACCCCTGAAATAAAGCTGAGCTGTGTTTTTATGGGAAGACACGGGCATTAATTAGCTGCTGGTTTTACTTTAGGTGAGAGTAGTCTTTTACCTACATCACCTTTTAAGTGCTCTAATAAAGGGGTTGCAAATACGCCTTGTCTAACATTGATTTTAAAAGATTTCAACCAGTGACTCACAAATTCATATGGATATAAAATTGCTAGCATACGGACATAATGATGACATAAATAGTGACTGGGAAGATCAGAAAAGCAAAATGTCTTGAAAGAACTACAACTAAAACAACAGAAAAACATCTTTGAACAGTTTTTTTTTGTCAAGATATTGTTTGATGGCAGAAATGAGTGCAGTGACTTTGTACCAAATAAAAAATAAGTTACATAAAACTTTCTTTCTTCAAGTCTGAATTCCTTTCCTTTTCTTTGAGTTTGCACACGTTATCACGCACAGCTCACTCCTTAAATCGCTTTGTGAACAGTGCTTAAAGTCCAACTCCCAATTTTCCACTCAAGTGGGAGACAAAGACCAGGGCTCCAAATACGAGTGCCTCCTGATCACTCTGCCTTAACATCTTCCTGTTACCCTGTCATCTTCTTTTATCTCGCTTCTGTCCTCTTGGTTGTAACTCTTCCCATCTTTCTTCCATCCGCTCTTTGAATGTCTCTCACATTCTGCGTATGACTATAACAGTGGTTAGAACACCGGCCAAGAAAACTCCCACTGTCTGCCATGTAGGTGTGCCAAAATGGGAACGGATACCCTCCTAAAATTCATAGGGACATGCATATTAATATCAAGACAACTACTTAACCAGTTAATCACATTTGTTAGCTATTTGCCTACCCAGCCGCCTTGATCTCTTATCCAGCCGATCACGTTGTCCCGGAGGTAGTCCATCGTCCAGGTGATTATTGTTCTGATGATATCCGGAAGTTTGGTAATTAGAGCCTGGAGAGACGGGAGGAAAAAGTAATCCTGTGAAACTGTTTCGGATGAAAGCAAGTAAAGCATAACAAAAGTGTTCTACTTACTTTGATAACGAGCCGACAGGCAAAGTAAAAGAGTGCAACCACCCTGCCCCAGTTGAATTTTCCATCTGAAAAGATCTCAATGGCGACTCTCATAAAGACATCCTTCGAAGGACTAAGTGCCGAGTCATTTATCATCCTAGGGAAAAGACAGTTTATTAGTAACAAAAATAATAGCTAATATATACAGTGGGTAAAATAAGTATTGAACACGTCACCATTTTTCTCAGTAAATATATTACTAGAGGTGCTAATGACATGAAATTTTCACCAGATGTCGGTAACAACCCAAGTGATCCATACATATAAAGAAATCAAACCATAAATGTCCAGAAATGAAGTTATTAGTAATAATGTGGAATGGCACAGGGAAAAAGTATCAAACACATGAAGAAAGGGAGGTGTAAAAAGGCATGGAAAGCCAAGACACCAGCTGAACTCTCTCAGTAATTAGAAAGCAAGCCTGCCCCTTGTCAGTGCAAGTTAATATCAGCTGGTTCAGACCCAAATGATGGCCAGGTATCACACAAGAACCATCTGATGATGGGTAAAAGTAAAGAGCTCTCTCAAGACCTTCACAACCTTATTGTTGCAAAGCATAATGATGGCATCGGTTACAGAAGAATGTCTAAACTTCTGAAGGTTCCAGTGAGCACTGTTGGGGCCATAATTCAGAAGTGGAAAGAACATTATTTCACCATAAACCGACCACGACCAGGTGCTCCTCACAAGATTTCTGACAGAGGAGTGAAAAGAATTATCAGAAGAGTTGTCCAAGAGCCAAGGACCACTTGTGGAGAGCTTCAGAAAGACCTGGAATTAGCAGGTACGTTTGTTTCAAAGAAAACAATAAGTAATGCACTGAACCACCATGGCCTGTACTACGCAAGACTCCACTGCTGAAGAAACAGCATGTTGAAGCTCCTTTAAAGTTTGCTGCACAACATTTAAACAAGCCTGTGTAATAGTGGGAGWATATAGTCTGGTCAGATGAGACCAACATTGAACTGTTTGGATGCCAGAATACACATCATGTTTGGYGGTCAAATGGCACTGCACATCAGCCCAAAAACACCATACCAACAGTGAAGTTTGGAGGTGGGAACTTCATGGTGTGGGGCTGTTTTTCAGCATATGGTACTGGCAAACTTCAAATAATTGAAGGAAGGATGAGTGGAAAAATGTACAGAGACATTCTTGATAAAAAAAAAATCTGCTTCCATCTACCAGGATGATGAAGATGAAACGTGGCTGGACATTTCAGCAAGACAATGAGCCCAAACACAAAGCCAAGGAAACTCTCAGTTGGTTTCAGAGAAAGAAACTAAAGCTGCTGGAATGGCCCAGTCAATCACCTGACCTGAATCCAACAGAAAATCTATGGAAAGAACTAAAGATCAGAGTTCATAGAAGAGGTCRACGAAACCTTCAAGATTTGAAGACTGTTTGTGTGGAAGAATGGGCCAAAATCACACCTGAGCAATGCATGCCACTAGTTTCTCCATACAGGAGGCATCTTGAAGCTGTCATTGACAACAAAGGCTTTTGTACAAAGTATTAGATAAGTTTCAGTAAGTGTGTTCAATACTTTTTCCCTGTGCCATTCCACATTATTACAAATAACTTCATTTCTGGACATTTATGGTTTGATTTCTTTGTATGTATGGATCATTTGGGTTGTTACCAACATCTGGTGAAAATTTCATGTCATTAGCACCTCTAGTAATATATTTACTGAGAAAAATGTTGACGTGTTCAATACTTATTTTACCAGCTGTAATTTGGAATACTTAGTATTGAAAGTTGTAACAGACACATTGTCAGGTGGCCTACCGTTGAAGCTCTACATTTCCATCCAGCTCATCTCCAATTTGTTGTAGGCACTGAGCGAGCTTCTTGTGGTTCGGGTCGATCAGCTCTGTTGAACCCAGCTGCTCCCTTGTCACTACAGCGTCGCCACTACCTGCATGTTGCCGAACCCGCTCGTAGATGAAACTACACAGAAACACAATAAAAAGGTGTTAAGTGCATAGCTGGAGAGTAACTGGTTAATTGTGGTAAATATATCAAATTTAAAAAGTGAATCTAAAATGTAAGTTTCTAAGAAAAAATTAAATAAATGAAGAATGAAACGCTGTTTTTTTCTTTTTGTTTTGCACAAGCACATACAGTAAGGATGACTCATAACACAACCATGATATGAATGAAACCACGAACAATAACTGAACTTCCAGTCAGTCTGAGCTGACCTTAAGTCAGCCGTGAAGAACAAACAATACAACACACAAAAGTCATGGGCCGTGTTGTTGAACAAAAATATCTTTCAGAGCAGGAAATATAACAATATATTCCATATGAAGACAGCAAAAAAATATCTAAAGTTACTGTTTTTGTTTTTACAAAAAGAAAATGCAGAATGAACATAGACATATTTGAAAACAACTACACCCGTTAAAGAACAATTTAGCCACATAATTCTTCATTCATAATTAATAATTAGTTACAATATCCCATATAAAATGACATAAACAGAAATCTGTAACCTATTACAAAAGTCTCATAAAATCAATAATTCCTCCACTTTATTTGTGAGAATCTCAGATGAGATTTATATACTTACTCCTTTAACAATAAAGTTCCTACTTCCACTATCTGATCTTTTGTGTTCCCTGGAAAACAAAGGAGGGTTTAAGTTATGAGTCAAGTGCAAAAGACAAAAGTGTCAAAACGAAACTTCAATTTAAGGGCACACCTAAACCGTCAAATATTACAATACAGTTATAATTTACTTTATAAAGTTAATCGTTTCGAATTAAATATGACTGAGGGTTTATGGTGGTCGATTTTCTTTTAGTAACAGATTAAGTAAAAGTAAGTTGCGACATTTTTCGACAGTATGAAATCAAACCCAGTTTTGAGCTAATTTCATGTGCTATAAGACTTTTTTTTTTTTCAAATGGTAGCTTATAACCAACACGCCTACTTAACATATTCCGTATGGCGTTTTAATGTCATTCGCCAACTCACTGTATTACTTGAATTTCTTCCACACAACACCATCAGCACAGAGTGATGAACGAGCTGAAAAGCTAGCGTTTAGCATGTTGCTAAGCTAACAGTCCGGTCTAATGTTCCTGTGTCGATTAAACATGTGTAAAATAAAAACTGGGAGGAAAATATTTATCTGTTAAATTTCCTACGTTTACCACACAGACACGGAACCTGTCATAGCTTATTTGGTGTTAAATTATAGCGGATGCTGCCCCGTACCTTGATCCCCGCTACCCTGCGATGCCATCTTGTTTTGTACTTCCGTAAAGTCACGTGACCACATTTATTTTTCTGGCTGGATGCTGAGGGGACACCTGTTACGTAATGCAGTCAGCACAGTCCAAAGTTTTTGTTCTTTTATTTTGGTCACTTTCAATAAAATAAAGCTTACAAACACAGAAAAATTAAAAGTACATCTTATACATGCATACAAATACTTTATGTATTTATTCCAATGTACATCATGTCCAAAAAAATGGATATTACAGTACGTGGAAGCATTTGGCTCACATCCCATACTCTTTATATAAGATTTACGTTGTACAAATCATTGCAACTGTGCTTTAAATATTGAGGAAAAATCTTTTAAAAATACAACTGTTAGGTTACAGTTTTACATAATGACATTCAAAACAAGAAATGAAAAAGTAAAATGTTAAAGTCTATAACTGTTTTAAAAACCTGCAGCACAGTTGCACGTTTTCAATTTCGCATCCAAAGTGCTACACATTTTACTGACACTCATAGTACTTTGAGAACTTGGTTATATTTGTTTACATTAACATGCTTTACTATTTTTAACCTGAAACAGTGTATGGGCAACAACAACATAAAAATCTACTACAGCTGTAAATTACAAGGCATATGTAATTGATGATTGTCTTATCTTTCACAATGTCTAAACAATATGCATATATTTCAATATGCATTAATGTGAGCACAAAACAAATTACTTTATTGCTTTCAAGAGTCTAATGTCATTTTATGACACGCGGCTCCATTCACAAACCAAACCAACAGCACTGCTTTAAAATGACAAGGAACAAGATACAGATCAAAGTGACAAAAATACTTTACCTTTGATGTGGTCAGTAAAGAAGTGTGCATCATACAGATATGGCAGCAAAATTTTGAAGCTTCCTTTCACAATCTAAACAACGTACTTATTTCCACCCCAGCTAACAGTTTTATACAGCAGTCTATTGTTATTGCTCCTCACTGAATGGCAAAGGTTTCCCAAGAACCACTGGACAATTCTAAATGAAACTTACAGAACATGATTATTGAAATTACAACTCCAGCTAAATAACTTTTAGAGTCAACCTGATTCAAAATGGCTGCCACGGCCAGCTGACCTCAAACAACTCACAAAAGTGGCTTTAACTTAGACAGTTTGGTGTGGTTATTGCTGACAGTTATTCACAACACATACTCAAAGTGCTAAAAGACCTCTGAGGTCAATGTTTAAAGTTTTGAGATATATATATATATATATATATATA